TATATATTGCATATTGATTTGAGTTGCATTTATGTTCTTTTAGTCCATTACTTGATGTACTGCAAAATCTTTGAGGTTTTATTTATATCTATAGAAAAACAAGTATTCTTGTTATTGAGACTTGAGTTAAAAATATGATTTGTTCGCTGTCACTTTTGTATGTTGTGCAAGTGATGGTTATTCATTCACAAATAAACAACCTTGTGAATAGTCCCATAGGAAATATTAGCATAATGATGAACTTGATTAAAGATTTGCTCCTTTCTTACCCTTTTTTGCTTCTTTTTTTTTCTTTCCAGAAATCAGTCCTCTCAAATTTGATTCAAGAGATAGAGCCTTTGGACGTCAGCCTTATTCAAAAAGATGTACCGCCCACAACCATTGATGCAATGAAAAGAACTATATCAGGCATGTTGGGCTTGCTTCCATCTGACCAGTTTCAAGTTCTAATTGAAGCTTTGTGGGAACCAATCTCCAAGCTTTTGATCTCGTCAATGATGACTGGGTATGCTTTATCTTTTACATGAGCTCCTCATGCCCACAACCTCATCATGCTTATGCTTAGCAGGATTTAGTTTTAGAGATCAAAAGAAAGGTAGAGGGAAGACGTTTTTTGGTCCTTGAGTCTTAGATAGGCATAAAAGTAATGTACAGGAGCTATGTGCTTTTTGTACTCATTTACACCCCCTGGATGCCTATTGAATACCTTGATCTACGCCTTGGACAATTATCATATGCCACCAACTTTTATATATTGGAAAATGGTCTAGAAAATGATTTTACTTGGTAAAACATTTCTTCAGAAGATATTTTCCATGTAAAACATTCTCCTCCATACCTTTTTTTTTTTTTTTGATGAAGACATTCTCCTCCATACCTATCCCACTATAAATTGAAAAAGAAAGCCTGGCTGGACTAGAATACATATAGAATATTTCACTAGTTACTATCAAGAAAATCTCAAAAGATGAACAGAAAGAAATGAGCGAAGGGATGAAATATTTCTAAATATGGCTGGCATTTGCATCAAATTCTCATTGTTTTTCAGTGTTCACTCTCTGGTTGACTTTAATACAAAACCTGAAAGAATAATGGGAGTATGATGTTTTTAATTTCATTGAGACAGGGGAAGGGGAGTAGCGAGAGATCGAAGATATGAACTATTTTTACAAAATTCTGGCAAAAAGGAGCTTAAATTCTTCTGTTGCTCATTCTACTTGATGCTTGTATTTGAAGGTGTAGCATAAAGTGCACTCCATTGTAATATTGCAGGTATACACTACGAAATGCCGAGTACAGGCTTTGTCTTGAAAAGAACCTTGAAATATACGATAGAAATATTGATAGACAAAAGCATGTAGATTCCAAAGTTGGAGATGAGACCTTGCTGAATGAAAATGTTTCGAGCCGAAACTCGGAACATAACCGACCAACATCAGAAGAAAAGAGTGAACTTTCACCTGATATTCCAGACGTTGGTAAAATGACGCCTGAAGCTCAGCAATACATATTAGACCTACAGACTCGCCTAGCATCTTACAAAAAGGTAGATTTAGCACTGCAGTGTATACACCTTATATCAGCAGTACATATTAGACCTACAGTCCCCTTTAATTGTAGGATGTACCTTTTATTAAAAGACTTAGCAGTTCAAGACTTTTTTCTATATAACATATTGGACCTAGAGTCTCACCTGGCATTTTAAAGAAAAAGGGGAATTAGCATTTCGATACTCTTTCGTAATTTTTGTTTTTTACTTGTTGGGTGGTTTGGATTTCCTATCTTCAGAGTATTTGATTATTAGCTTGCATGAATATGGTCTGTGATACTGATAAAGTACAAGTGAGAAGAATAATTCATTTGTACTGCTGACTTGCCTACTACAGTTCTACAGCTTCCCCAATACCAATTCACCTTTGTGGAGGTTTTAATTTGGCATTAGCGGAGGGGGAAGGGTTACTAAATGTTGTAGCTAATAGGATGTTTTGAGACGAACTACGTGCCATGTCCACTCAACTGCCATATTTGCTTTCTAGTTACTTTTGTATTTCTTGCTTCGTGTTGTCTGAACATTAAATTGACCTGTCTGTTTTTTGTGTATGGAAGGAACTCCGTGAAGTTAAGAGGAAAAGTGCAGCTCTTCAGATGCAACAATTTGTGGGTGAGGAAAAGAATGAGTTGTTGGATTACTTAAGATCATTGCAGCCGGAGAAGGTAAACGGCTCTCTTTCTGTATAACATGTCAACTGTCCTTTTCCTTAAGTTTCAAAGTGAAGAGGGCCGTTTAGGTTGAACTTTCTCTTTCTCCAAAAGAGACCATAGAATTACGGACAAAGTAGAGAATATACGTTGGGTATTAAAGTGAAATAACACCTATTCAAATTTTCTTTCCTACTCAGAGAAAGAACAAAGACTTGCACACCTCTTTTATTCATACCAAGAATAGAAAAAGATGCTTCTCTCCTTTATTTTTTGATATCCAAGAAATCCCCGAGGAACAGTGGCTCATGGTTCGAAACTTGGTGCATAATGGGCCTGCCCCTCTACCTTTTCCACTTAAAGTCAGTTTTTTTTTTCTGCGTTAGGGTTCCAACCCGTCAGCTAACCCACACATCACACAATGCACTCTTATCACTGGACCTCTCTCCCTCCTTTTCTTTTGCATAGTTTCATTATTGGGGTAGGGAGGATTTTCTTTGCTATGGTGTTAATTGATTTTGCTACCAAGTCAACCTTGAAGCTTGTTATCCCGTTAGTAGTAGTTGTGCGTAAACTTGACTTACTCTATAATTTTTGCTGTCTTAATATGCTCTCTAGCTTTTCATTCCTTTCAGAATTGGAAGTTGGGAAACTTTTATCTTCCTATATTCCTATCTTATTGTCTTCCCATTGTCTTTGCTTTGCTTACTGCCACATCAATGCGAGCAGGTTGCTGAGCTATCAGAACCAACATCCTTGGAAGTAAAGGAGACCATCCATTCAGTAGTCCATGGACTACTCGCAACTCTATCCCCTAGAATGCATTCTAAGGCCTCTGATTTATCAGATAATACCTCTGCGGGAACTGTAAATGTTGGAGCTGAAGATTCCATCGATCTTGTCGAGAACACATCTATTCACTTCCAGCCTCAGATATCATTGACTCGAGATTATTTGGCTCGTCTGTTGTTTTGGTGAGAATACTTTCTTAATTATTAGTCTTTCACAATATTCTGGAAGCCCTGGATTTCTGCCTTTGAGCTTAATGCTGAATTTCCTATTTGGTATTTAAAGACAGTTACTTCGGTTTTTTTTCCTTTGATAATTTCATCAGGTGCATGCTGCTGGGGCACTACCTTAGAGGTCTAGAATATCGAGTGGAGCTTACTGAACTGTTGTCCTTGCCATTTGAGCAAAAGTTCGAGCAATAAGCAAGTTGATTAACACTTGTTTTTAGCCATAAAGGCCGAGAAAGGTATCAATAAGCAAGTTGATGGAGCGTTCTTCTCTTGTTTGACTCTGGCCGAATCCACGAGGCGTATTAGCTTGCTTGACATTTATAAATGCTTAGAGCAGTGTATAGGCTGAAATATGTTTCTGCAAAGGGTAGCGGTTGTGTAATTATTTGATGGAACACTCGACAGATTTATTGTTGTCCGACTTCGATTTACAATGCTTGTCTGGAGACTGCTGATAAGCATGTAAAATATGTATTTGATGCATAAAGTATTTTAGAGCTTTGAACTAGTGCTAAGATTTTCAGGATATACTGTACATACTCATTTTATATAATTTGGAAGCGTAAACACTTTTCAATTTTTTTTTCCTTTTCTCCTTTCCAAAGGAGCATGTCGGGTGTTGCCAAAATAGTAAGTGGTTTTATTGGTGTAGTGGGAAAAATTCGGGGACCATATGTGAAATTAACGCACTTAGATGTCTGGACATAGGGGTGGTCATGGTTCGGTTTGGATCGGTTTTCCCCTAAAAAGAAACCAAATTAAGTAAGTTGGTTTTTCAAATATTAGAACTAAACCTAACCAATTAAGTCGGTTTTTTTTCGATTCGGTTTATGTTGGATTTTGTCGGTTTTTCGGGTTTTTCGGTTATTTGTCGGTTTTTTCTTAAATATAAGACATACATTACCAAACACATATTCCGGTGACCACATTTTCAATAATTTAAGGACTCAATTAAAAATATATTATTTTTAACACGAAATGGATCCTTACACTTAACAAAAGAAAACTACCAATCAAACTAGAATGAAAAGGTAAAGAACTATACTAAAAGTGCAAACTATTAACATTTACCATAAAATTTTTGAAACTTTGTATAAAAATATGCATATATATATATATATATATATATATATATATATATATATATATATATATATATATATATATATATATATATAGGTGTAATAGTAAATTTGAAATAGCTACTCCTATAGTGGGTTTGATTCGGTTTTTTCCGGTTTTTTCTTATTAAAACCAAAACCAAATCAAATTTGATCGGTTTTTAAAATTCAATACCAAACCAAACCAAAAAGTATCGGTTCTTTTGATCGGTTTGGTTTGGTTTTCGGATTTTTATGAACACCCCTATCTGGACATGCCTTCGTGATTTAATTGGATTAAATGGTATAATGATGGTATCTATGATGTTTAAAAACCTAAATCCACTTCCTTCTTCATTTTGTCTAATAGCAATCATCTTTTCCATTAAACTATTTAATAGAATATCAAGAAGATGAACATGTTATAGCATATTTTAACTGCATAACTGAATCTTGTTTTGACATTTTTGCTTGAAGTCATTCGTCGGGATTTCTTGATAGTTCTTTTAATTCTCCATGTTCTCTTTTCGGTCCAATTAATCTGTGGCATTTAATGAAATGTGTGGTAAAGAAATCATTCTCTTAGCTTTAAGTAAGGTATTTAGAATTATCCATTTCGGTTAAATCCTTCATTTGTAAGCTAGGTGCATTTGTTTCAAAACATTGGATGCAAGAAAATTGATTAGTAAAAAGAAAGAAATGGCAGGATTTAATATCATAATTTCTCAATTCCCACACAAGATTGGGTAACAGGTCCTAGACTAGAGGAGCTCACTTATTCTGAAAGTTTAACAGACACAAAAGAGTCTGTAACTCAAACCAAACACTAGTAAAAATAGTTATAGGTAGACAAGCAGGAGAAGAAATCTGGTTTTATTCTTAAGGACATTTAGGCTTTCCCTTGGAGTTTTTCATGTCCCTATAACAAGGGCACTGATGCTTGTTGCCATAAGTCCCACTAGGAACACATTTGCACTTTGCACAGCACAACTCGCAGTATTTCACACATCGATCCTTCACTCCTGCCTTGGAACACCGAGCCTTGCATTTGTGCGCACAATACACTGCACCATGTAAATTGAGTTTAACTTCTATAAACTGACCATATAAAAGTATTTTTCACTATTAGGTAGGGGCGAAGTCACAGTGTTTGGTCGTGGGTTGTCAAACCCAGTAGCTTTTGTTCTAACCCTATATTTTTATTAAAAAATTCAATGATTATAATCCCGGACCCATAAGGTTTAAATCCTAGCTCCGCCTCTACTATTAGGTCACTTGAAAGATAATTACATGTAATTATCTATATAAGTAAGATTATATACATTCTTTACACAATATATATAATTTACATCCTTGCAAATTTCATGCAGTCAGTTAGATGTTTTGCTAGAGAAAAAGGTTTAGTGCAACGACGAATGTTGTCCTGTGACAAGAAGGTCATAGTTCAAATTGTGCAAACAACATCTTAAAGAAACACAAGATAAGGTTATGTAAAAGTAAACTGAACATTGTTTGGATTACGTGCATAGCGAGAACTTGGTGCATTGTATTTGAATGCAATTTTCTATTTAGCAGTTTTGCTAGAATGAATGGAACCGGTGTTAAGCTAATTTACCAGATTTGGCCGTTGCAGTTTCAAGAAAGGAGGATGTCAAAAGAAGAGCAAACACCAAGACAAAAGCTACGAAAACCCTCTTCATTTTGGCTTTCAACTCTCTTCACTTCTCGTACAGAATTTGGCAGAGAAGAAATGTTTCTCAGGAAACTGAGAACTTTAGTTTAAGCAATAGTAGAAAGACACAACATGGGTATTTGTAGCCCCGTTACAAGAGAGCAGTCTGGGACTGTTTTGTTTTTATCTCAATTTATTTTTCTGTTTTATATTCCTTAACAATGGCTCATATAAGTAAAATGGGAAACATGGGCCATCAATGGCGTAATCTAGCGCAAACGGTGTTAGTTTATTACTCCCCCGGTCCATAATAAGTGATTAATTTGCTTTTTTATTTTGGTCCAAAATAAGTGTCCATTTATATCAAGAAAAAATTAAATTTGTTTTTCCATTACCTTTATGTACATATCCCTAAAAAGTTATTTACTCCTCACATTTGAGAAGAGAAGTACTACTATGACTATAGTGCAACATTTAATGTAGGGTAATTTTGTCACACTAACTATTTTCAAGCAAATTGGTCACTTATTATGAACCGGAGGGAGTATTACAGCTCAACTTGTATTTGGTTTTGATTGGACTTGTGGAGATTGCGAGACTTTTCTTCGTGTACTAAGTTAATTTTTATTTACCATTATTTTAAAGCAATGTTGGCCTATTGTATGTGTGCATATTGTTTTTGATTTATTTATTTTTTGCATATGTACTAGTAAAAATTGTAGGCGAAACAGTCAGGATGACACCCCTCATAAAAGGGAGTCTCCGTGGCGGATTTTAATTAATAAAATCCGAACAGTTATTTTTTTTTTAAATCTTGAATTTGTATCTGCTTAGTTTAGATTTCTCAGAATTTAATCCACTATGTAAACACTAGAATGTGTTTATATGACACAGCTAAAAGTGCCGAGTACATGAAATTTTTAATAAACTACAACCATATAATAAACGGTTTGGTTCTTTGAAATTCAAACAAGAACAAACAAATTGAGCACAGGCGCCAATGAAGGAAAATGTGGTCACAGACAGCTGTGCTTTGGCCAATACACACTGATTTTCTGCAAGAAAACGTACGTCCATTGCCTCTTCAGTTATCTTCATATCTTTGTGTAGCAGCACCAAGATTTGGTGGCATTTTGTCTTTACAAGAATATGAGCTTGCATTTTTTTGTCTTCACGTCACAAAAGAGGAAAGGAAGTGTAAGATCCAATATTTTCGTTATTAGAAATTTTAGTGCTTAAGTGGTCTTAGTCTAGGAAGACTTCCAATCTACTGTGATTTTTTTCTTCTTTTTTTTTGGATTAACGTACAGACCAATCTTTATTTAAGTAAAGAACATATAGTGTTTGTATGTTTAACTAGAATTTACCTATTATTATTCACTTAATTAGTTTAACAAAAATGTTCAAAGACTTTTTGGTCAAACAGTGTTATCTTTGAGTCATTTAGCCTTTGTTTTAAGACGAATTCTTCTCTTCTTTTTCCCTTTTAGGTGTGTACGTTTAAGGATAAAGAGAATTCAGTTTTATTTATAATTTTCTAGAATTTCCTAAATGTAGGTCGCATTCTTCACAATTTATAAATCACAATGTAAATAAGTATAGTTGACAATATTATAAAATGAAAGAGCGTCATATTCGCATTTCGCGGGTTGAGTTATTCAGTGTGAAAGCTGCCACACAAAGATGCATCTTTTTTGGAAAATTTCACATAAGAATAACTAGGGCTGAGCATATATCGGGTAAAACAATAACCCAAACCGTTAATTGTTTATTGGGTTATCGGTATCAGGTTATTCGGTTAACGGTTCGATACCGGTTTAGAATTTTTTTACTATTGGGTTATCGGTTCGGGCCTCGATTTGCCAATTTTGTTAATGGGTTAACCGATAACCCAATAAGAATTAATAAAATTACGACTTTACCCTTAAGTATGTACAAATGCTAGGGCTTCAATTCATTCTCTCCTACTCTTTCTCAACCGCACTCTTCAGTTGCTTCATCTTCATTCTTCATAGACCTTACTAGTTACTCGTAGCGTAAGTCTTTAGTATACTATATGTGAATTCTTCTTGTCACGACCCGGATTCCCACCCTCGGGAGTCGTGATGGTGCCTACTAATACGAGCTAGGCAAGCCAATTAATTTCACAATTTACCCTTTTACCCATTTTATATTCATTAACAATTTCGAAATAATAACATTTAAACAGCGGAATTTAACATAAGCGGAAGAAAGAAGCAATAAGCTATCTGAACATGAATATCTAATACAACTGTTTGAGTCTCGACTACCCAGAACTGGTGTCACAGTTTCACAGACGGTCTAAGAATGCTACAAATAAAGGGTCTGAAAGAAATAAATACAACATTGTCTCTAGAAATGCATGAAAGAAACATGAATAATAGATAGAAGGAGACGCCAAGCCCTGCGGACGCCTGCAAGACTACCTCGGGTCGCCTGATGATCAAGAATCAACAATCTCACAGCGGTCCGAAGTCCACAACACTGGGGTCTGCACAAAAGAGTGCAGAGTGCAGTATCAGCACAACCGACCCCATGTGCTGATAAGTGCCTAGTCTAACCTCGGCGAAGTAGTGACGAGGCTAGGACCAGACTACCAAATAAAACTACGCAGTTCAAATATATATAGCGAAAAAGAAATACGGAAATAAACAAGTAAAGGTGGGAGGGGAAACATGCTTCGGGAAATAACTGGTAAAAACAGAATATCAATAGAATATAAAGGAATCAATAATCCAACCACTAACAAGAATAAAGAAAAAACAATGCAGATTTCACTTTCTATTCACATCTTGTTGCAGGCGTGCAACCCGATTCCATTTCTCATGTCTTGTGGCAGGCGTGCCACCCGCTCCCATTTCATATATCTCGTGGTAGGCGTACCACCCGCTCCCATTTCATGTATCTTGTGGTAGGCATACCGCCCGCTCCCATTTTATTATGTCTTGTGGTAGGCGTACCACCTGCTCCCATTTACGAGCCAACAATAATCACAAAGAATCCCGGCAAGGGAACAATAATATCAACAAACATCCCGGCAAGGGAACAATAATATCAACAAACATCCCGGCAAGGGAATAATGATATCTCAATAATATCCCGACAAGGGAACAATAATAATAATAACATGAGAGGCACAATAAACCACAATGGAGTCATAACAATGTATAACACAAGACTCACGGGCATGCTTGACACCGACGTATAGATACTCGTCACCATGCCTATACGTCGTACTCCACAATCAACACGTAGCAAATAGACACAACTCCTAATCCCTCAAGCTAAGGTTAGACCAAACACTTACCTCGATGCCACGAACACAATTCACGCTTCAATTATAGTTTTACCCCTCGATTCCACCACCAATTCGTTCGTATCTAGTCACAAGTTACTTAATTACATTAATAAACGCTGAATGAATCAACCCCAATGCATGAAAATGAGTTTTCCAAAGTTTTATCCAAAAGTCAAAAATCGCCCCCGGGCCCACATGGTCAAAACCCGAGGTTCGAACCAAAACCCGATCACCCATTCCCCCACGAACTCAAATATATAATTTATTTTGAAATCGGACCTCAAATCGAGGTCCAAATCCCCAATTTTTTGAAAAACCTAGGTTCTACCCAAAACACCCAATTTCCCCCATGAAAATCATTGTTTTGAAGTTGAAATCATGTTAAAAGATGTTAAGAATTGAAGAAAGTTAGTTAAAAATGACTTACAATTGATTTGGAGAAGAAGAAATCCTTGAAAAATCGCCTAAGTGTGTTTATGTTTGAGAGAATATGAAAAATGGGTTTTAAAATCGTCTAAGTATAAAAGTTGCAGGTCTCTGATATGGGAATTGCGAATAGGGGTTCGCAATTGCGAACCCCGACCTCTGCTGGCTTGGGAATTGCGAAGGCAGGCATCGCATTTGCGAGCCCTTTAGGAAAGCTGGACCTTCGCATTTGCGAAAACAAAGTCGCATTTGTGACTTTCGCATTTGCGACACAATGATCGCATTTGCGATCCCTGGCCAAATGGGAAACTTCGCATTTGCGAGAGGGAGCTGGCCTGGCTTCTTTCGCAATTGCGACAGGCCGCTCGCATTTGCGATATCGCATTTGCGAGCCAGGCTTCGCAAATGCGAAGCCTGCAGGCCTGCTATGTGTCGCACCTCCTTTTTTCACTTACTACACCCCCGGAAGGATATAATAAAGGGAGTTTTTCCAATTAAAGGACAATCGAAACGGGATTCGTTTATTAAGAGATTCAGAGTCGCCACTTGGGAGATTTATGGTGTCCCAAGTCACCGGTTTGAATCCCGAATCGAGGAAAAGGTTTGACTCTATTTAACAGTCGCGAACCAGAAATCCGAGTAAGGAATTCTGTTAACCCGGGAGAAGGTGTTAGGCACTCCCGAGTTCCGTGGTTCTAGCACGGTCGCTCAACTGCTATATTTGGCTAAGGTCTGATTTTAATACATGTCATCCTATAGTGCAATTTTAAAATTGTTTAACCGCTTTTAATTAGTTTTTTATGAAATTGAACGCCGTTTAAGAGCGCGTTTTTGGATCGCGTCACATGAAATGCACCCGGATCCTCAACACCTCTTATTCAACGTTTTGGGATTTGGATTTGGGTCACATAAATGTGCATCCGTATTTAAGAAGGTAAAATTATTAAAAGCGCGCCTAAAGTGGCTAGCGTCTTATTAACTTTGGGGAGGACCGTGAAATTTGCTAAACGGCCCATCCCGAAATCTAAAATATTTTTAATAAAGCATTTAATGAGGGCCCCGCAATTTATGCATTTTTATTTGGCGAGGCTCATCTCGTTTTTTATTTAAAAGGGCAAATCCTAAAGCAATTATGTTTCTTCTCTACTTATTTTTGTCTCTAATCGGGCCTAATTAATGCGCATTTATAAATTCGGGCCTCAAGTTCAAGTCCGAATTCAAACAAAAGGGAAGACCCTCTTAATTTGAACCCGCCACCTAATTTGAAACCCAAATTTATATTTTGTGTGAATTAATTTCCCATATTCCTAGGTAATTTTGAAGGGCTTTCGATTTATGGCAGTCTTGGGCTTAATAGATTTGGCCCAGGTCTGCTCGAACAGAGACCGTCCA